CCAGATAAGGCCCCCACCTTGCATTTGGTTCCTACAGGACCCTTGTATGCTTGCTTCACGGCTCTGAGACCTTGAGCCAAGTCATGTAACCACTCTGAGAATCAGTTTGTTCAGGAATAAAATGGAGCTAATATTAGTAGCTCATACATTGTTTCAAGAGTGGAGAAAGATGGTGATCCAGTGGTTAAACTTGTCACTTTCAGGGCAGGGGTCCCATTCAGTCTGTGGTCAGGGAACTAAGATCCCACAAGCCATGCAACGCAGCCAAAAAAAAAAATAATAATAATTTTTAAAGAATTTCTTTTAAAAAAACAGAGAAGGATAATAAATGTAAAGTGCTTGCTTCAATAGTAAGTGGTAGTAGCTACACTGCTGTTAGTACTGATTATCATTATCATTGTGAGTTGTCACCTAGAAAAGATTATAGATAACTTTGCTGTAGGGCCATAATTTAAGCTGGTTTCTACTTTAATATCTGGCCCTTGTGGGTGCCCAGTAACTGGTTCTTATTTATTCATTTATTTATTTGGCCGCACCAGGTCTTAGTTTCGTCATGCGAAGGGATTCTCTTGTGGCGTGCAAGCTTACTTGCTCCTCAGCATGTGGAATCTTCCCAGACCAGGGATCAAACCCATGTCCCCTGGATTGCAGGAGGATTTTTAACCACTGGACCACTAGGGAAGTCTCCATGTGTTGGTGGTTTTTGTTTTTGTTTTTTAAAGAAAAAGTGATAACTCCCTTTCCCCACTCCCAAAGGAATCTATCTGGCTGGGCCAAAAAAGGAACAATCAGCATTGAACAATAGTTACAAATGGTATTTAATCAAATGCTGGACTAAGTTCCCTGGGGGTTCCCAACCTTACCCTGCTCTATTTTCTATGTGGCACTTCTCAGTAATACTCTACATGGAATAATACTCTATACAAAATCCACTGCAATGCAGGAGGCCTGGGCTTGATCCCTCGGTTGGGAAGAATCCCTGGAGAAGGGCATGGCAGCCCACTCCAGTATTCTTGCCTGGAGAATCCCATGGACAGAGGAGCCCAGTGGGCTGTAATCCAGGGGATTGGGAAGAGTCTGACATGACTGAGCGACTAACACTTTCACTGTATGACTTACCTACTTGTTACATCATTGTTACAATGTATTATATGTGTTATATTGTTATATCCCGAGAGATTGTGAGCCTCAGGAGGATAGAGTTCAGTTTTTCATGCATTCCAACATCCAGCTCAGTGCTGGCACACGGCAGTCTCAGGACATCTGTATACAGTGACTGTGACCTGTGTTTGCAGGTGAACCTTGCAGGGGTGGATTCAGCTGGTGAGCCTTCAGGGTCAGTAATCACTGAAGGAATGGGACTCACGTGCTCTCCCATCTGATTCACCAAGACTTGGTTCTGTTCCTTGAACTTCCCTTACTACTCTGAATAAGCTTATGTAGGTTTTGGCTAGAAGAATAGTGTTTGCTAACTTTCCAGCCATTTCCTGAAACCCTCTGCTTTGTCACCCACACTATTAGATGGCAGTGGGGGTTTGCCTAAGGCAACTGTTTCAGTGAAAAGTGGAGCTCAAGGACTTATAAACCATCCCAGATGGTTATCTGTATTTAAAGGACATTCTCAGATTTACCCTAGTGACATGTTCTAGTGACTATAGCCCTGGAGTTCAGATTTTTCGGACTGACATGGGGTCAAGGCTGCAGCCCTGTCTTGTGCTTACAGGACAGGGAAATCACCAAAGGAAAAAGCTGAAAAAGAAGCCAAGGGCTTGAGGCCTAACATGATGCAAATATGTGTATTTCTTTTTTTTTAAGATCATGTGTTTTTTTTTTTAAACATTTATTCGTCTATTTGGCTGCCCTGGGTTGTAAGTTGCAGCATGCAAACTCTTGGTTAAGACATTGGATCTAGTTCCCTGACCAAGGTTTGAATCCCGGGTCATTGCATTGGGAGTGTGAGTCTTAGCCACTGGACCACCCAGGAAATCCCTCTATGTATGTTTCTAGAGTATATCTCCTGCCTGTCTCAGGTAGGGAGGTGCCATCCGGACAGAGAACTTGCTTTGGTCCCTGAAGCTCAATAGCCTCAGGTGTCAGTCCACTGGCTGGTTGTGGCCTGGTCTTACTCCCCGACAGCATCTGAGAATGACCTGGAGTGGAAAGAGCCTGAATTTGGGGGTCAGCTGCCCCATAAGCTACTTTCTCTGCTACTTGCCTGCTGCGTGGCTCTGGGCAATATATTTAACCTTTCTTCTTGGGGCAGGGGGGCAGGGCTTTTTTTTTTTTATTGTAGAGAAGCACAGGAAAGAAAACAAAAATGACTCACAGTTTTACTGCCTTCCTATTAAATAAGAAATAACATGCAGCTAGGATGTTTTTAAATGACACCAAGGAAAAAAAGTCCCACTCAGTCCCTTTCCTCAAAGATATCCTCTGTTTTGTGGATATTTTCACCAAAAATGTACCTTACAGCTCTCAATTTAGCCATAAGATAAGCATATAATTAAAGTTATAAGTAAGAATAGATAATATACCCTTCTTTGTTTATGCAGAAGGGACCACACTAAGCAGACTGTTCTTAGCTTTTCTTTTCTTTTAATTATATTTTGCAAATAGGCAGGTCAGGAGCTACCTTGTATAGCATTCCGTTGTACGGATTCTTTCATTCAACATGTGTTTAATGAGTTGAGGGCCAACCAATGAACAGTGCCTGGCACCTTTTTTTAGTAACTGGGGACGCAGCAGTGGGCAAAACGGACCAAGTCCTTGTTCTCAACAAACTGACTTTTGTGAGAAAATTGACAATAAATATGTAGCATGAAGTTGGGTAGTTATAGATGCCATGCAGAAAAGGATACTTGAAAATTGGTCAGGGACCCTTTCAGAGGAGGTGCGATTCAAGCAGATTCCTGAGGAAAGTGAGTAGTGAGCATGTGCAGATTTGAGGAAGCATGTTTCTTGCAGGAGGAACTGCAAGGGTGAATGCATAGAGGTAGGAACCTGCCTAGTAAATAATGGGAAAAACTGAGTAAGCAAGGGAGAGAGCAGAGGGTTCTACAGAAGGACAGGTCCACAGGGCATCGTGAGAACTTCGGGTTTTACAATGAGCGGAACAGGAGCCATTTGAGGGTTTTGAGCAGAGAGGAGACACAGTCTGACTTAAGTTTTAACAAAAGGACCTTGGCGCCCAGGCTACTTGTGTGGATACACCAAAATCAGTGTACTCTTCCTGAGTTTTCGTCTTTCCTGCCCACACTGCTAAAGAGCTTCCCTCGCAGATCTCAGTGTATTGGGGCCGGGGTGGGGGGTGGGGGGCAGAGCTATAGGTGAGCTCTTAGCAGTGCAGTTGTCATCTCTGGATTTGCCAAATCCTCTCCCCGCAAAGCTTAACCTTTCTCATCTTTAATTTCCTGGTAAGTTAAAAGTTACAATGGTATTCTCCACCTTGGAGTATTTGGGGATCATCAGACAGAATGTTGGATTTGAACTGGGTATAAACTAAGGAGCGGCATGCCAAGAGTTGATTGGAGCAACTGGATGTAACAGCCTTCTTGGAGAGCTTTTATGGCCAAGGTTTCCTGGGGTCTCGCCTTCTTTTTATTTCCCTGTGGCTTCCTTGCTCAGTCTGATTTTGGAGATAAAAGGTTTCCTCCCTTTGTTGACACCGTTGATTTTGCAGGGGACAACAGCCTTTAGGATTGTTTTTTCTGGAGTGGGATGGGGGTAGGGGCTCGGGTTTAGGGTGTTACTTCAGGGCCCTCCCTGGCCCGTGATAGACAACTTCTTATTCTTTGATTAGTCATCTTCTGGAGGACTAAGAAGTGGAAAATTTTAAAGCTGTTGCCAGATCGTGACTGGAGACTGTAGCCTGCAGGTTAAAGGTTGAGAAGCCCAGATTGCTGGGAGCACTTTATTTTCAGAAATGGGAGCCTACGAGCAGAACAAAGGCGGTGGGTGCAGGGCAGGAGTAGGAGGGTGGGGTTTCCCAGGGCTCCTGAGGGGAGGGGCTTGACAGCCCCTCTGAAAGTGACTTGGCAGCTATAGAGGCTGAACTGCTTTGTCCATCTGGGTTTGCTTCCTGAGGGCCGACCTTCTGGGGCAGGCTGTCCCATATGAAGACAAGAATGCTCTGTAATCCGCCCTAACCGGTGCTGTGACCACTGGGCCTGCGTGGCTCCTGAGCGCTTGGAACAGCTGGTGTAGCTGAGCAACAGAACACTCCATTTCCTTTCGTTTTAATTCGTTAACAGTTAAAGAGGGGAATTCCCTAGCGATCCAGTGGTTAGGACTTGGCACTTTTACTAACAAGGGCCTGGGTTCCATCCCTGGTCAGGGAACTAAAATCCCACAAGCCATGTGGCAAGGCCAAAAAAGAAAACGTGAAAGAGCCACGTGCATTTGGTGGTTACAGATGTCACAGTGCCAGCTTCAGGCTGTTACTCCTGTGCCCACCTGACCTTGAACTCCCCCACTTGGCTCCAGGAGTCTCTGGCCTTATTTCCTCAGATGAGTCACCACCTCCCCAAGTCCAGACAGTCTTTGGTTTTGTCTGTAACTTCATCTATACTTTCTGGAGGGGCCAATGCTTGTATGGTACCTAAAGTGAAGTGGAAGTTGCTGAGTCATGTCTGACTCTTTGCGACTGTAGCATGCCAGGCTCCTCTGTCCATGGAATTCTCCAGGCAAGAATACTGGAGTGGGTTGCCATGCCCTTCTCCAGGGATCTTCCCAACCCAGGGATTGAACCCAGATCTCCCACATTGCAGGCAGATTCTTTGCCATTTTGAGCTACTCAGGAATCTGCCAAAAACACACCCTAAAACATGCTGCCTTGTTCCCCTCCGTCTCCTTCCTGCCTGGCTGGACCAAGATCACGCCGGAGTGAGCTGAGTCTGTGTGTTCCCTTTGTCATCCCTGTCATTTAAGTTGTGTCCATTAAATACTTCCTGCCAGCGGACTGATTGATTTGCCCTCTCTTACTGATTTTTGTCATCTCCCAGGTGCCTTGAAGAAGGGTCTCACAGCCGAGCAGGTCCGGGCCGACTTCATGACTCTGGGTAGGTGACCACCCCAGATTGCTCAGGTGACAGGCCATGCAGCCCTTCCCTGTGGTCATGTCTCCCTTCTGTTCTCTTCCAGGTCTCAGTGAGGAGAAAGCCATCTACTTCTCTGAAAAGGTATCAGGATCCCCCTTAATCAAAGTGAATTAAGATTGTTTGCTTTTATTTCCTGAAAACATACAAATGGAAAACACCGACCAAGGAAAAACCATCCATCATCATATGTCATTTCCCAGCTTCAAGTTTTTCACTTGGTTTCATGCAGAGGACATACATGCATGAAAAACTATTCTGTGCATCTAATATTTTCCCTCTGATTTGACTAAATATAAATATCATACAGTTTTTGTTCCAACCTGGATTAAATCTCGGAATAAAAGAAGATTCCTGCTGCCCTTCTCGACCTGGATCTGTGCACACAGGCCAAGCCCATGCCTCTACACTCTGCCCACTGTCTGTGTAAAGACTAAACACGCTGCGTTGGGGGCAGAATGAAGAGGGGTTTTTTTTCCAATGTGATGACTTTGGCTGTCTGCTTTTGTTCCAGTGGAAGCAGAATGCCCCCACCCTCGCTCGATGGGCCATAGGTCAGACTCTGATGATTAACCAGCTTGTAGATATGGAATGGAAATTTGGAGGTAACCAGCTAGAGCCAGTCCTGGGTCATTGGGTGATGCAGGGTTGGGTGGCAGAGGCTCTCAGAGGACTTCACTGGGGAAGTGGGATCCTTGGTCCCCTAAGATTGTTGGGTCCAGCAGCTGCTTCCCTGTGTCACTGTCCACATTCAGCAGCTCTTTCTACCCACGGCTGTCTGTGAGTTCACTTCCTGAAAAGCACATTCTGCTGTCTTCATCCCGGGGACATGTCCCCCCCCTTCATGTGGGGACATGTCTCCTACTTTACAGCTTGCAAGATTGAGCTCTTCAGAGTTGGTCCTCAACCAGCCACTTACTATTTTTCTCTTTTGTGTCACAGTGACGTCTGGGAGCAGCGAACTGGAAAAAGTAGGAAGTATTTTTTTACAAGTAAGTCTTTTTCTGATCTCTGAAAATTGGGAGATTTTTGACTTGGTTATAAAGTATTAAATCTACATTCTACAATATTCTAATGCAATTACTCACTCAGTCGTGTCCAACTCTTTTTGACCCCATGGGCTGTAGCCCGCCAGGCTCCTTTATCCTTGGGATTTCCCAGGCAAGAATACTGGAGTGGGTGCCATTCCCTTCTCCAGGGAATCTTCCCCACCTGGGGATTGAACCTGGGTCTCCTGCATTGCAGGCAGATGCTTTACCATCTAACCCAACAAACCTACCTTGGGTTTCTTTAATATCCAATTAAACGGATGTTCCACTGAAGTGCCTTGTGTATTTCAGAGCAATGTGGTCAGCCAAAGATGTGATTACTGACACGCTTTCTTTCAGATGAATAGGATCTGGATATTGTTCTTGAAAGTTTTGATTGCTCCTGTCATCATGGGAATTGTTAGAAGTTTTGGTGTTGAACAATCTAGACTGCTCTCGAGTAACTCTCAAGACACTGGATGCTTTAATGTTTCTGTGAAAGTTCATTTCTTTGCCCAGTTGTCATCATTTTAATTTAAATATTTTATTTCTTTTTTTCCTTTTTTGGCTCAGTTAAAGTTGGTGATTAAGAAAGGAAGTCAAACTGAAAATGTATACATAGGTGAGTCCAAATTCCCATTTGAGTCTTTCCACTTTTTCCGTTTTCTTCAGTCATTAGGCTCCTGAGTGTGTTAGTTGCTCAGTCGTGCCCGACTCATTGCAGCCCACCAGGCTCCTGTGTCCATGAGATTTTCCAGGCAAGGATACTGGAGTGGGTTTCCTTCTCCTTAGGCTCCTGAAGCCCACCACTAATCATTTTTCCATAAAAAAAGTTATAATCGGTCTGTGGAATCTCTATTCTGCCAACTTTGCTCTCCTAAATGATAAGCCATTAGCAAGTTGGAGACCCCACAGTCAATGAACTTTTTGCTAAGGGGAAAGGGTGGGGTAGGAATGTGAGCAAAAGTCGCGTGTCTCACTCGTTGCGACCCCATGGACTATACAGTCCATGGAATTCTCCAGTCCAGAATACTAGAGTGGGTAACCTTTCCCTTCTCCAGGGGATCTTCCCAACCCAGGGATCCAACCCAGGTCTCCCACATTGCAGGAGAATTCTTTACCATCTGAGCCACAAGGGAAGCCCAAGAATACTGGAGTGGGTGGCCTATCCCTTCTCCAGCAGGAATCAAACAAGGGCTGCATTGCAGGCGGATTCTTTTCCAACTGAGCTATCAGGGAAGCTTGCGATAGGAATGGTGAATTTCTAGGAGCAAGAAGCTCTGGGGCTATGAGAATCACATCAACTGTCCTGAATGGCACTCTTTCATCCCTTTGTGCTGGGGAGTTAATGCCATTTTAAATCCCCTCCTCCACTTTTTTTTTTTTAAATGGAGCTGAGAACTTTCTGTGTTCAAGGCTTCAGTTCTTTATTATGATCAATTGCCCATCCAGAACTGCTTAGAGGTATTAAGTCAAAAAATAAAAAGGAAGTCGCTGGGTGGAAATTCGTTTTCTTGGATGATTCTGTGGAGTTGGAAGCATTTACCTGAAGCCGCGTTTTCTCTCCCCAGAACTAACCTTGCCCCAGTTCTACAGCTTCCTGCACGAGATGGAGCGAGTCAGAACCAGCATGGAGTGTTTCAGCTGATTTCTGTCCCCGCTTTGCATCTCCACCTCGCCCCCTCCCTGCCCCCTCCCTGCCCCCTCCTCCTCTTTCCCGGTGACCCGCTCTGAGAGGCTGCTTGGCCCCCAGGCCTGTGGCCTCTCCTCTGGGCCTGCCTGCCTCTTGGGAGCCCAGGTGCAAAGGTTTCTGAAAAACAAAGGATTAAGTACTTAAGGAGCCGGACAGGATGACCCTGAAGAGTCTTCGTGAGGCACCCTCCACTGCCTATCTCCCAGGTCACTGTTTAGATAGTCAGAAAGGTGATTGCATCTCAGATGCAGGGGAGGAAGTAAGCCAAGTCATCTCCCCTTCAAAGCTCCAGAGTACACAAATAGTCTGTTGCTCAAGATACCAACACTGATGACCTTCCCCACAAGACAGCAAGGTCTTGTTTATGACTAAGGAAGAGGTGGATTTCATGAATGACCCAAAGGGAGGTCCCAGCAGAGTTCCTACAGGAGTTTGTGGTGGTGGGGCCTTGCTGATCCGTCTTTAGTGGACACCTGTGTAAGAGTATGGGCTGGGTCTGCTCTGAAAAAAAACAGGCTTCACTTCAGGTTTTGCCCCATTGTGTGTAATGAGGCGGGCCTTTTGAGGTTATTTCAGCTTGTTTTGGTTCAAGCTGACCTTCTGTGGTGGTTAGATGAAGAATAAAAAAGGTTCTGAAGAACAGGTCTGCATCCGGTTGTCTCTGTGCGTGGATTAAAGAGTCATTTGCCTTGCAGAGAACTAGTGCTCTCATCTTCAGAAGTTATCTTCCTGGTTTTAGTGAGGGCCCTGGGTCTTCCATGAAATTCACTGTAGTCCCAAGAGGGTGTTTGTAAGAGCAGTTCAGGGGAAACTCAGGTCAAAAATAGGAAAAGTGGAGTAGATGAATATTTTGTGTTCAGATAACTTGAGTACCAACCTGGCATGTGATTCTCTTCCTCCTACCTCTCCCCTCCACCTCAGAAATTTTTTAAAGTTCTGAATGGATAATACATGCCCATGATTCGAAAAATACAGTGTAAAGTAATTCCTTCTCCTGCCCACTCCCCACTTACCTAGTTTCCGTCCCTGTAGGGAAGCCCTGTCTTTAGTTTATTCTGTGATCATGCATTTGCAAATATATAGGCACAGAGTTTGACTTTTCTTCCTACACAAATGGTAGCATCCTATACACACAGCATCCTGCATCTTGCTCTTTCCCACTTCATTTGGAAATCACATCGGAACAAAGAGAGCAGCCTCCTTCTTTGTAACAAATGGATGATTTATTTAACCGCTTTCCTGCTGATGGGGTATTTAGGTGCTTTCCATTCTTCTCTTATGAATGATGCTACAACTGAATTTTTTAAAAATATTTATTTTTGTTTTTCTTATTTGGCTGCACCAGGTCTTAGTTGTGGCACTCGGGATCTTTTGCGGCATGTGGGATCTATTAATAGTTCCCTGAAACTGGGGGTCAAATCTGGGTCTCCTGCATTGGGATTGTGGATTCTTAGCCAGTGGACCACCAAGGAAATCCCCTGGGTGTTTTTTTCTAATACATAAAATACCATTTTGCATGAGGCGAAGTGTATTTATAAGGTAAACATGAAAGTGAAAGTGAAAGTTGCTCAGTCTCTTCTGACTCTTTGTGACCCCATGGACTATACAGTCCATGGAATTCTCCAGGTCAGAATACTGGAGTGAGTAACTATTCCCTTCTCCAGGGAATCTTCCCAACCCAGTGATTGAACCCAGATCTGCCACATTGCAGGTGGATTCTTTACCAGCTGAGCCACCAACGTACGGATATGGAATTGCTGGGTCAAAGAACACGTGCATTTATCAAAGAAGGTAGAAAGAATAAAGCAAAAAGCCCCTCTGCCTGGTTTCCCATTACTCAGTTACCCCACTGCCCTCATCCAACAGGTAACCCTGCTGTCAGTTTCTTAGCTATCCTTCCAGAGTTTCCCCTCCACACACATGTAAGCAATAGGAATTTTAATATTTTTGTTGTTTGCACACTGTACACATTATTCTTAATATATCTTGGAGATCTTTCCATGTCAGTACATAAATAGACTTCATCATTTTCTGTGACTACAGCATATTCTGATATGTGGATGGGTTATAACCAGCATTTTCAACTTTGATAAATAGTGCAGGTATTAGTCAGTGTTCTCCAGAGAGCAGGACCAGCTGTGTGTGTGTGTGAGAGAGAGAGAGAGAGAGAGAGAAGGAGAGGATTGATTTATTTTAAGAATTGGCTCACAGGATTATGGAGGTTTGGTAAATCCAAAATCTGTAGGGTAAGCTGGCTGGCTCGAGACCCAGGGAAGAGTTGCAGATCCAGTGCAAAGGCAGTCTGCTGACAGAATTCCTTCTTGCTGGGAGGAGGCATGGGAGTCAGTCTTTGGCCTAATAAGACCTTCAACTGATTGGATGAGGCCCACCCACATTATGCGGGGGAATCTACTTTACTTTAAGTCCACAAATTTAAATGTTAATCTCATCCCCAAAATACCTTTATAGAAACATCCAGAATAATGTTTGGCCAAATATCTGGGCACAGTGGCTCAGCCAAGTTAACACACAAACCAAACCATCACAGTGGCAAACTCACCTTTTCAGTGTGTGTGTTAGTTGCTCAGTCGTGTCTGACTCTTTGCGACCCCATGGACTGTATGTATCCTGCCAGGCTCTTCTGTTCATGGAATTCTCCAGGCAAGAATGCTGGGGTGGTCTGCCATCCCCTTCTCCAGAGAATCTTCCTGACCCAGGGTTTGAATCCAGGTTTTCCTGCATTGTAGGCAGATTCTTTATAGCTGAACTACCAGGGAAGCCCTGTTCAGTTTATGGAAGGTCACTGCCCACAGGTCCCAAAGAAGAGCAAGTCAGTGCCTTTGAACAGAACTTACAAATGTGTCCAAGGTTTCGTGTGCCTGACACCATAGGAATCTAATGTAAAAAGAATTCACAGAATGTCAGAACAGGAAGTTACCTAAAGTGCAATCTAATTAAATCCATTCGTATTACAGAAGGGAAAACAGACTAGAGAGCGAAATTGGTTGCTGGCCAGTGGTCTGGGCTGCCCTGTGAACCATGGGGTCTGCCTGGTTCAGAAGCAGCAGAATCCTGAGAGACCCAAGAGGATCAGCCCAGCAAACTCCCCAGGGCTGGTTTGCATCAGATGCTCTGTGAGACCTGAACCTGGCTCCACTGGGTGGTTTCTGACCAAGGAGTTCCTGGCCCTGCCCAGTTCAGGCTCTCCTGCCCACCTGCACTGCCGCAGTGGCTTCCTGTTGGTTACACCCCAGTTCTCAGCTTTCCAGTTTCTATAGCCTGGCCTGTCCCTACGTGAGCATTCTCCTGGGCAAGACTCACAACCAACAGATCCAAAGGCTCATGGCTCTGCCGGGGTCCTGGATAAAGTGCGAAAGCCTGACAGTCTGGCCCTGCTTGTGTCTCCCACAGCTCCACTTCCTCTGCCTCCTGGCAAGGTCCTACACCAGAGGGTCTGGTCCACCATGAGACCATCGGCCTCTCCCGCCCTTGGGATCCAGTGCCTCCCCACACCTCTGGATGTAGCATCCTTGACAGGTCTGAGGGCCTCCCCTGACGGTGCCAGGCCTCGGCTCCCTATCGCTCGGCTGCAGGGGCCAGGAGTGCGGGTCCTAGAGTCACGTCTCTCGGCTTCCTTTCCTGGCCCCTCTACTCACTGCCTGTGTGACCCCAGGCAAGCCCCTAACCTCTCAGAACCTTAGTTTCCTCTTTTTAAAATGGGCATATGGGGCTTCTTTGGTGGTCCAGTGGCTAAGACTCTGAGCTCCTATTGCAGGGGGCCCAGGTTCGATCCCTGGTTGGGGACCTAGATCCCATATGCAGCAATGAAGACACAGTGCAGCCAAATTAAAAAAAAAAATAGTAAAATGGGTACAGTTCTGGGACTTCCTGGGAGGTCCAGTGGTTAAGGCTCCATGCTTCCACTGCAAGGGGCATGGGTTCGATCTGTGGTCAGGGAACTAAGACCTCACAAGCTGCCCAGCGTGGCCAAAAATTTTTGAAAAATAAAATGGGTATGGTTCTTACCTCTCAATGTTATGGGACAGGCCACTTAGCACAATGTCTGCTCGACTAACGGTCAGCTCTTCATTATCAAATTAATATCATTGTTTCCAGAATTCTCTTGCCCACTAGTGTGTGAACCTCTTGATAAGAGGTTTGCTTTTCAGCTCAATCATGCCAACACCTGGTATCAGTCAGCTCTACTCCCTCCTACCCCTATCTGGTAATGGGGTAACAGGCCCTGTTGTTATTTTTTTTGGCTTATATTAGAGGTTCATTTTTATTTTATTTATTTATTTTTGGCTGCTGTGGGTCTTCATTGCTTTGCGCCGGCTTTCCCCGGTGGCACTGAGCAGGGCCAGTCTTGGTTGCCAAGCGCAGGCTTCTCGTTGCTGTGGCCGCTCTTGCAGCAGGGCACAGACTCTAGGTTCTCGGGCTTCAGTCGTTGTGACACGCAGGCTCAGCAGTGTGGCTCCCAGGCCCCAGAGCTCGGGCTCAGTCGTGTGGTGTCTGGGCTTAGTTGCTCCTCGGTCGGTGGAATCTTCCTGGACCAGGGATCGAACCTGTACCCCCTGCCTCGGCAGTGGATCCTCATCCACTGTGCCACCAGGGAAGTCCCTGGAGTACAGTTGATTAACAACGTGTCGTTAGCTTTAAGAGTACAGCAGAATGATTCAGTTATACACATACATGTATCTATTCTTTTTTTCAAATTATTTTCCCATTTAGATTGTTACGTAACAGTCTAACAGTTACGTAGAATAGGAACTTACGTTATAAGGCACAGTTCCCTGGCTTATACAGTAGTTCCTCCATTGTTTATCTATTTTAAATATAGCAGTGTGTACATGTCAATCCCAAACTCCCTGTGTCCCTCCCCTCACCTGTTGTTAGTTGAAATGAGGCTGTGTAGACCCTTGAAATGATGCTGTGTAGACCCACCACGGCAGACTGTTAACAAACCTGCGTGGCTTTATTTTTTATTTTTTGGCTGTACTGCCGCATGTGGGATCTTGGTTCCCTGATCAGGGATCAAACCCACACCCCCTGACATGGGATCATGGCATCTTAACCCCTGGACCATGCAGCAGTTCCCTGCATGACTTTAGAATAAATCAGGGGAACCCGTTTGATTGTTGATCATTTTTAACATGGATCGTATAGCGTGAAGAGGCTGGGTTGAGCACCATTCTTCCAGGGGCCATCTTCCAATGCCTTGTTCCCTGACCACAAACATTCTTGGAGCGCCTCCTATGGGCCAGAGTTCCACCAGGCCCTGTGGGAGCAGGCTATAAGCTGTGCATACAGAGAACTGACCCTTTCTTTTCAGCGACCTTATTTCTCTGAAAGAGATTATATCCTCACTTCCATTTGTAGTTCAGTTTCCATCATGAACTCCAGGAACTACTTCAATCCCTTGGTTGTATTGGAATTTCATCACAAATATAAGCTACTGGGTCAGGGACATTGATCAAGGCTGCAGACAGCAGGACAGGGGTTTCGCCAAAGGTGCTGTGAGCAGATTCTTTTTCACTGTTAGCACTTCATCTTTGCATTGATCCCCTCTTGTTCCTATTCTTATTAGAAATCTACTATCCGTTAGGGTAGTTTTTGGCTGCAGGTTATTCTTGTTTATATTTTATTTAC